ATAGAAAATAACAAGATTTGGTAGGTTTTTAATTAAATATGATATGTGTCGGATTTCTGGTGATTTCCTCTCATTTTGAGAGGAAATTGTTTTTTGTAAAATTTGGTAGATTTTGATATTTTATAGAAAATATTTCTGTAAATTTTTTGTTGAACCAAACACAATTTATAGAAATCTATGAAAAAATTTTAATTACAAATTTGCTATTGTCAGATGTTTTGAGAAAAGTTTTCTAAAAAAAGGTGCAACCAAACAGCCCCTAAGCATGCAAGCTTATAATGTGATTATGCGAGCAAAATACAAGTTCGGCAAGCTTGATCAATCCGTAGGTTACTCGATGATATGGGTAAAAATGGATTTGCCATTTATTTGCGTACTCTATAAATATTATTTTATCGATGTTTGACGGTTAAGCTCGGAGGCATGAATCGTGGCTTTTCCTTGATGTATAAATTTTAGTCCAAGACTGGAAACTTCTTCAAAATCTCACATATAAAGTACGTAAGAATCCCATCCATCTAAAGAAATACCAAGAATCCTCTCACCAACAAACTTAGTTGCCAATAATACATCAAAAATTCGATCTTATAGATCAAAAATAGACAGAAATCCATCAATAATTCCCCTAGAAAAATAGGACAGATATCTATGAATCTCTAATTATATATGATAATTTGCCAAAATAGGAAAAGCCAACAGCACGATCCCCAATTTTTAAGCCTTGGATCAGTTTTTGAGCGATTTCGAAGGTTTTGAGAAGGAAAGCCTCTTTCCAATTTGTATGAGGTGGCGGCTATTTTTCTTCTCCTCTTTCTTTCTTTTTTTTTTTTTTTTTTTACAGGCCAAACACGAGAAATTGGAGTAAAATTGCAATTTGGGGACTTGTCTACATTGTCAGTTTTCTGTAAGCCCCTTTCTTCTTTTTTTTACAAAACAAACAACCCCTAAGCTCTTTTTTTATATATATATATATATATATATATTATATATATATATATATATTATATATATATATAATATATATATAATATTACCAAACAAACAGCCCCTAATTTTAGTTGGTTAGGTTTTGCCTTGCGGAACAAATTTCGATTTAAACCGCCATTTAAAAATTATTTATTAAAAAAATCGAACCCATTTGACTTTGTTATTATCAAAAACGGCACCATTTCGAGCCACGTCAGCAGCAGCTGGCCCGAAATGGGTCGGTTTTTTTTAATGTACCCGCTAATAGTCGGGGTTGGCAACCCGGATATTTAGTTATGTCGGGTTGGCAACCCCGACTAACTTAGCAAGGGCACGCTAAAACGTCGGGTTCCCAACCCCGACTAATTTAGGCCCTGCCTAATGGTCGGGGTTGGCAACCCCGACCATTGGGATGACGTCATTCGCTACGACAAAATGGTCGGGGTTCCCAAACCCGACTATATGGCAGAGACCTCTGGCCCAGTCGCCGAGTGGTAAAAACGGCTAAGTGACAATAGTCGGGGTTCACAACCCCGACTATTTGTTCACTGGGCCCCCGACCTATATAAAGGTCACGACTTCACTCTCTCACTCGTTTCCGGTTCCAGCCGCGTCTCTCTCTCATTTTCGTCGATCTCCTCCTCCCAAACTCCCTTTGAGCCACGGATTGCAGCTTTCTCTCCTCTTTTTTTGTGCGGAATTCTAGGGGTGAAAGATCTAACAGGTACTCTCTCCCTTCTCTCCTCTTTTGACACCTAGAAATCTAGGGTTTTCTCTCCAAAACGAAATTATAGTGTTTGAACTCTATTTGTAGTGGTTTATTTAGAAATTTTATTCTTGTTGTAGTTGAAATTAAATATTTGGGGGCATAGAATACTCAATTTTAGGGTTTAGAATTTGGGGGTTTACTTTAGGGTTTAGGATTTGGGGGGTTACGGTTGTAATTGGGTTTTAGGGTTGTAATTAGGTTTTAGGGTATTAATTGATAATATTTTTAAATTTTTTGCATTTAAATGATATAATTTTGATTTGTATAGGTTGAACAGTATGATTTTTATTGCTTGCTCTTATGGTGGAACGATTAAGTATGGAATGAATAATATGCCAATGTACGTCGGAGGGGTGACAATTCCGTTAATGATATCGGAATCATACAGTTACCTTGACTTGGTTAATGAAATTCATGGAGTTACGACAATTGACCCACGAGATTGCAGGCTAAAAATAATATGCAATTGGCCGATAACTTATGATAGAACGTCCGCCATTGAGATCTTAAACGATCATTCCATGAGTATTTTGTTTAATTTGAGCAAGTCACAACCAACGGTAGAATTGTTTATTAAAACGGTGCCACATAGTACGGGCCGAATATTCAACCCTCCAGGAGAATTTTCACGCATGTTAGATTTGGAAGTTGAGTCTGAAGGCTTTCTTTCTTCTTCGAGTGAAATACAGCGGACTCAATTTTAATATAAGGGTGGTGCACCTTCGTATGAAGAGGGTGAAAGAAGCGACGCCTCTGATGGTGAAGATGAAAATAGTGCACCACTTGACAGCATGCAATTTGTGGGTGAAGATGATGAAGAGAATCCGGATTGGCCAGATGAAGCTTATGTTAATAATGAATATGTGGAGTACGAAGAACCACCCCCCGACGAGTTTGAGGATGATGAGTGAGTTCGTTCTTCCACAGTACATGATATCCGCATTGGCGAAAGTTCATCCAATAGAGGAGATGATGAGGAAGTTCCTTTCAGAGTTGGTGAATTATTTGAGACTAAAGACCAATTGGTAGATGCTATTCGTGATTACTCAATCAAAAAGTTGGTCAAATTCAAGCAAATTAAAAGCAATCGTACAAGTTATGAGGCAATCTGTTTTATGAATACACAAAGGCAAGGTCGGGCAGAGGGGAATGAATCTGATTACGCATGTCCTTGGAAGTTATATGCATTTGCCGGAAAGAAACATAATGGGTATTTTAGGATCACAAAATACTACGGTGTTCATACATGTAACAATCCAATGTTCGAGAGAGACCACAGTGGTGCCTCCGCCTCTTACATAGCTCGGTTGATTATGCCAAGATTAAAGAAGAAGCTTGAACTAAGGCCCGATGACATAATTGAGAGAGTGTCACATGATAAGTGGATTGAAATATCGTATATCAAAGCGTGGAATGCAAGGAGAATTGCGATGACAAAAATATTTGGTGATTGGGAAAGGTCTTACGCGACTCTGCCTCAATATCTTGATGCGATCAAAAGAAGCAATCCTGGATCTGAATACAAACTCATAACCAAAGAGGTCAATCCGGGAGTTCATAAATTCACCTCTGTATTTTGGGTATTTGGTCCTTCGATCGAGGGATTTAAATTTTGTCGGCCGATCCTTAGCATTGATGGGACACACTTATACGGTAAATATAAGGGTGTATTGCTTGTCGCTACAGGAGTAGATGCAGATGGGGGCTTATTTCCTTTGGCCTTCGCAGTTGTAGAGGTCGAGAATAGTGAAAATTGGGAGTGGTTTTTTTCTTGCATCCAATTATATATTTTTAATGTGTTGCCTCCTAGAAAAATTACTTTTATATCCGATAGGATGAAAGGTATTCCAAGAGCATTGTACAGGAGATTTGGCTCTGATCACAATCACCGCTATTGCTTACGACACATTAGAGCTAATTTTAAAAAGAGCTTTGGTCAAGTACATCTACAAAACCTTCTTTGGCAAGCGGGTGTTACACCCGAAACATGTGTGTATGATCGGATACGGGATCAAATCAAGGCAACATCTCCAGCTGCACATGATTGGATTGAGAGTAGTTTGGGAAGCGATTACGTCGACCGGTGGGCTCTAAGTAAAGATGGAGGGAATCGCTATTGCATGATGACAACTAATTGTTCTGAAAGCTTCAATGGTGTACTTAAGGGGGCTCGAGCAATGCCCATACAGGCGTTGGTTGCGAGGACATTTTATAGACTAAATAAGTATTTTGTCAAGCGGCGAGAGGATGGAGCAAAGTGGGGGACGTTGTTGACCCCAAAAAATGAAGAGATTATAGGAGCTCGTGTCAAGCAGGCCAGATTGACTAAGATTGTGAGATTTGCTATAGATGAATGAGAGGTTACAGACAATCACGGTCATAATTACACCATCAATCTACGAGGAACACAATGCGCATGTACCTGTAACATTCCAGAATTGCAAAAATTGCCATGTGCACATGTTATAGCGGTTACGACCAAGCAATTTGGGGGTGCAAATACATCGTATTACACATACGCTTCTGAGTGGTACCAATCAAGCCACTATAGAGATTCATACAGTCATTTTTTTCATCCCATTGTAGATAGTCGTTACTGGCCACCCTATAACGGGCCGCATGTGTTACCTCCTGAATTTAAGCGGCAAGCCGGACGCCCGAGATCAACACGCATAAAGTCTACGATGGATGGAGGTCGGGAAGGAGTTCCAAAAACAAATAGATGTGGATATTGTAGACAACCGGGCCACAGGAGATCTCACTGTCCCACCAATCCAAATAAATAGCAATTAATGGGTATAATTATTCTATTCTTTGTTAATTATTCAACTTCGTTTATACTTCATTATATTCTACTCCATTATATCATCATATGTGTTTCATTTATATGTGTTTCATTTATATGTGCAGCTATGGAGGCGGGGCCATTGGCGTATGAGGTCCTTTATGACCAACCTCGACATCGATCCGCGAAGATTGACACTGGGGAGGTAATTAGATTGGTAGTTATAAATTACATTTCATTCAAGGATTATTCTAAGTTATTGGCTGTTACTGAACATTTACACTGTTTATTATATGCAGGCCCCGAGCATTACTATCGTTGATCACACTCGTGCACACTCGAGCTGGGAGTTGACTGATCCACATGTCCAATATTATATTCGTCAATCATGCTTCTTTGAGTGCTCACAAATTAAATGGGTGAGACTTGATTGGGCTCTCTTGACAGCACTGGTTGAACGATAGAGGCCCGAGACAAACACATTCCACCTGCGCCAAGGAGAGTCGACGATTACATTGCAGGATGTAGGGGTTTTGCTTGGACTCCGAGTGGATGGAGATGCTGTCACAGGTAGCGACGACTTCAACTGGACAGACAAGTGTGAAGTATTGTTGGGTCAAGTTCCTCACATGAGGGGTGGAAGGATCAAACTTGAATGGTTGAGAAACAATTTTATGAATGTTCCGATCGATGCGACCGAGGAGATCGTCAAGATGTATGCCCGTGCATACATACTTCACATGATCGGTACTATTCTATTCCCGGATTCCACGAAGGATTCGGTGCACGTGAGGTGGTTGCCACTCCTGGAGGATCTTGTGGATTGTGGGGGATTGTCATGGGGGAGTGCCGTGTTAGCGTATCTGTATAGGGAGATGACCAAAGTGGCTCTTGTTCAAAACAAAGAATTCAAGGGTTGTCTCACTCTGCTACAGATATGGTCTTGGGAGAGATTGCATTTGGGTTGCCCAGATTTGAGAGAGGCACGTGCTCTCGATGGCAATATTCCGTTAGGCTGCAGGTATTACTAAGTTATTTTAAAAATATATGATTACATGTAATTTTATACATTTGTTTTAATTTATACTAACTCATTGTATATAAATTAGATGGAATGTATCTAGATCATGGCATACCTCACCAAAGGGCCATGAAAACTTCTATAGGAACGAGCTCGATCAAATGGAGGACGAACAGGTATTAAATCATAATATCTAAAAATTTTCAATCATTACATCATTTATTACTGAAATCTGCTTTACTTTATCTTTTTATAGGTCAAGTGGATGCCATATGAACAAGTTTTAGAGTCACTACCAGATATATGCACAGAAGAGCCGGATGTGTGGCGTGCTCGCGTCCCGATCATATGTTTTGAGATTGTCGAGATGCACGTGCCCGACCGTGTGCTACGACAATTTGGGCTACGACAACATATCCCGGTCCCTGTGGAGGTAATAGAGAGAAATCCCAGAAAAGGTGCACATCGTCAAGATTGGGAACATATTCACAGTGCTTACATCGGGAGGTGGGAGAACAGGGAAGAACATTTAGTGATGGAGAGGGTTGACGCACCTGACCTAGGTGTGTATTTGCGGTGGTATTGGGGGATTACTCGCCGGTGGATATTTCAGGAGAACAAAGCTCCTAAGGAATACATACCAAGAGGCCCAGTTGAGAGAGAGTTGGTAAGTGTATAAGCAAAATATACAGTTACCTTGTGAGTTTTATTTTATTATCATCCAAATCATAATAGCTTTCTTGGGGTTTTTATCGTATAGGTACAAGAGCTCGAAGAACTTTCTACTATGGCGCATGATGCAATCCGAACAACTACCGAGCCAGGGCCGAGGAACACGTTCCTTCGCATGATCAAAAAGATTCGGTCCGCTCTTCAAAGGACGCGTAATGCAAGACGAGATGAACGTGAGGAGCGAGACCAATTGAGTACGATCGTCGTCGATTCCGAGGACACAGGGGCAGGCTCAAGCGGTGCACATGATGAAGCTGGGGCTCACAACAGGCTCAAGCCGGATGTTCACAGTCGGTTCGAGTCGATGAGGATGTCATGCACTCCCAACTTCACACACAACCGGACGAGGAACTGATCCGAGCTCACGTCGAAGGTGAACGTGTCAGGGGGAGAGGGAGGGGGAGGGGGAGAGGGAGAGGAAAGGGAGTTGTATCCGATTGAAACTGAATATTATGTATCTGATTGAGTATTGATAGGATGTTTGCGTTTGAAACTAAATATTATGTATTCGATTGAGTATTGATTATTAGTATGTGAATTGCATGGTATGTATCCGATTGATTATGGTTTTTTATTTGAGATTATTGATTGGTATGTGTGTTATTGTGATTGAATTATGGATTGATATGTAACAGCAGGAGTTTGAATTTCCAGCGGAGTTCGTATTTCCAGCTATTTTCAGCTGAAAAAGTCTGCCAAATGGTCGGGGTTGGGAACCCCGACCATTTTGTGCACGAACACAAAACGGTCGGGGTTCACAAACCCGACCATTTTGTCATAGTGAAGTGAACAGCACCTACCTCTCTGCCAAATGGTCGGGGTTGCCAACCCCGACCAATTAGGCAGGGGCCTAAATTAGTCGGGGTTGGAAACCCCGACTATTTTAGCCTGCCCTTAGCTAAATAGTCGGGGGTGCCAACCCCGACATAACTAAATAGTCGGGGGTGGGA